TAGACGACCATAGTGTTATTTGAGCCTCAGGATACCATATTCCTTTAGATAAGAATATGCTTAATCCTTTTAATGATCTCAATTCCTAAGGGTAGATACTTTAAATGTTATTAATATAGAAAACAACCCGAACTCAGTCACCTATAATCCAGGTTGGAGGAACCACCCAAATTTTAATTTGAATAATAAAAATGGTGGAAATCAACTGAATTCCAATCAGCCCAATCTTGTAATATCATGGAATAACCCTCAATGATAGTTTGAAAATCCTAGACCTACTCACCCCCTAGGATTCAATACTAATAATAACCTTAAGGATAAGAAGCCACCCTTAGAGGATTTATTTCTACAAATGGGGACTCAATTGCAGAGTCAAGCTATAGCCGTTTGGAACATAGAAAATCAATTAGGGTAGTTAGCTAGTTAAATCAATAGTATACCCCATGGCGCTTGACCTAGTACTACTAAATCAAAACCTAAGGAGAAAGGTAAGCAACAGTGTAAAGTCATCCAATTAAGAAGTGGGAATGAACAAGGAGAAAAATATAGAGTCGTACATAAAATATAGGAAGAAATTAAGATACAAAAATATTTAATGTCTAACCATCCTAAGGAACAACTTGAGCCTGCTAAAGAAGTTTAAAAACCCATTAGGAATGTTTTTTAGGTTTAAGAAGTATATTGAATTTTCTAGTCAAAGTAGTGACATGACATCATTTATGGCATTTGAGGATGACAAGACTATAGAGAAATTTTTGCCATGGAAGAATCAAGAAAAAGGAAGCTTTAAGAAAGTTGTAGAAGTTCCAAGAATAGTTAATGTGAGTGTTCTTTCACATTCCAATAATAATTAATGTAAGTGTTCTTTTGTATTCTAAGAATAGTTAATGTGAGAGTTTTTTTCATATTTCAAGAGGAGTTAATGTAATAGATTTTCTTAGAAACCTTGGAGTAGTGTTTGGGACATACTATAAAAGGAGGGCAAAAGAGCATGATGTAAGTGTGTGAAAAGAAAAAAAAAAGTGAAAAAATGAAAAGAGAGAGTGAGAAGGTGAAGAGTTGTTAGCCGAGTTATCCATTTTGTCAAAACAATTATTCATCTTGTATTGTTTTATTCATCTTTGAAAAATATATATTGAAGGCCTTCATTAAATTTTTGGTACCCATAAAAGTTTGTTGTATTCGTTGTATTTATCATATGAGTAATTGCTCTTCTCCCTCCAACAAAGTGGTATCAGAGCTTTCAGCAAAAAAGATGGAGAAGGTGCCAATCATAAATGTCGTTGAACTAAAATTAAAGAAAGACAATTTCCAAAGATAGTGAATTGAGATGAAGACCATCCTATAATTAAATGATTTTTGGGATGTTGTTGAGCAAGGTCTGAACGAGTTGATAACCAAAGATGAAGTTGTTATAACCAATCAAAGGAGCACCAAACTAAGAAATATAAGAAAATTAGATTGAAAGGCTATACAATTCATCTATTCAGAACTTGAGGATAATTATTTTGGCAAAGTGGCTACTGCAAGAAATGCAAAGAAAGTATGGAAAATTCTCCAAGATTCATATCACGGAGATGAGAAGGTGAAGTAAGTGAAGTTGTAGATTTTGATGGCTGATATTGAGCAACTCACCATGAAGGAGGAGGAGTCAATTTCTGACTACATTTAAAAGACTCTAAAACTAATAATGAGATGAAGATGAATGGAGAAGATCAAACTGAGGTAAGAATAATATAAAAGGTACTTAGAGGCTTGACAAAAAAGTTTGATCAAATTGTAGCAGTAATTGAAGAGTCTAAGAACTTGACAACCTTGATCATTAATGAACTACAAAGCTCATTTCAAATTAATGAACAAATGATACATAAGGAAGGAGGCCGCAACACCAGCAACCAGTCAAGAAAGTTTGAATATGGCCAAAGCAAATCGAAACCATGGGTCATACCAAGGTAACAACAATTTTAGAGGAAGAGGCTCAAGAAGAGGAAAAGCAAGAGACGGCTGAGGTAGAATGGGAGGCGAGCAGCAACACCAATCAAATGAATTAAATTCAGAAGAAGTAGAGCACCATTCTCAAGAGGATGACTTGGAAGATCAATAAAAGGTAGAAGAGGTGGACGTGGGTTCCACCAAAATCATCCAAATAAGTAATGTTATACTTGCAACAAATATGGTCATTACTCAACTTGTAAAATAATTTCCCTAAATACAAACATTTCTCTTTCTTTGCAAATATTTTAGCTTAACTAGTTAAGTCATCATATCTTGAACAGTTTTCTTTTCCAAAATAAATATCAGAGGGAAACAACCAAGCAATATTTCAATAGACAAACATTTTACGTAATTTTCTGTTCAACATTATCATCAGTCAATTAACTATTAATTTTCCATTTACAGGTAATCAATAAAGTAATCAATTTTTCTATTTTACACAAAGTGCTCTGCTAGGGTTTGCTTCCTATTCTATCCGCCTCCCCATTGTCGTTTTCTCCACTTTCTCGCCCGGAGGGGCTTTTCCTCTCCATGGGCTCCTCCCTCAACATCCTAGATTTTCCACCTTTATCGTCCACCTTCGCTAGTTCCCCTCCGATCATTCCCCTTCGGGACTGGTCGAACACTATCAACCCGAGACGACTGTCATCCAAAGATCTCCCCATCTCCTTCCTCCACACCCAAGATGAAGTCATTGTTTTTTCTAAAGCCAAAATGGATGCTGCAACGGATGAATGGTCCGTATCTTTGGTAGGGTATTCAGTTGGTAGGAGGCCTTATTATGAGGCTCTTCTAGCTGCTATAAAGAAAACTTGAAGCTTGCAAGGTAATATCCAACTTTTTAACATGAATGATGGTTTTTTCCTCATTAAGTTCTCCTCATATCTGGATTATGATATGGCCTGGTCGGTTGGAGTTTGGTTTTTCTGGGAAAACCTTTTATTTTGCAAAAATGGTCTCCAAAGTTTAGACCTCAAAGAGAGAATTTCACATCCATTCTCATATGGTTCAAAATTATAGATCTCCCCTTATGTGCTGGAATTCCGAAGGGATATCTTTTATTGCTAGAAAAATTGGCATTCCCTTAGTTGTGGATGCTCTTATTGTAAGTCGCCTCACTTACACTAGGGTCTGTGTGCAAGTGAATAACAAAATCGTTTATCCGGATTCTATACTGATCTCAATTGAAGATGAAATCATGCACTTGAAAATACAATATGAATGGCACCCACTCCGTGTGATTTATGTGGTTCTTTAGTTCATCTATCCACTTCCTGTCCTTCTAGACCCGCATCAAAACAACTAACTGAAAATGTTGCACCTAATACTATTCGGGGAAGACAATCTTATAGAGAACCCAGAAATTCATAGTATCGGGCTATCAGTGGCAGCCGTCCCCCAAACCCGAGAGTTCAAAACGTATTGATACCATCTCAATTGATTCACAGTCCTCATCCCCCTCTGTCTCAACCCGCAAAACCTACATAGTCTCAAGCCCCACAACCTTCAGCATCCATGCCCCAACTAAATAATCATCCTTCACAAATACAGTCCCACAATCCTCATCCCCCTCTACAGCATCCACCACAACTACAACCCCATACTTCACAAAATAAGCCGACCCAGCCTACTCACTCCCAGCCTACGTTATCCCAGCCTCAATCGCAGATATTGCTGTCTATTGCTCAAACTGCAGAAGATACTCATAGCACTTCTATTATAGTTCCACATCCACTTCCTTCCATCTCTATACCAAAGTAGGCTTCCATTCAAGCCAACATCTCAAACCTTAATTCCCCCTCAGAAGAGGTTATATGATGAAGACAGTTGTAATAACTTTTCCTTAGCCTCTTCTGGTAGAATTTGGGTTAAATGGGCTTCCAAAAAATTGCAATTTAGGCCCTCTTTCACCTCCACCCAAATGATTTGTGGGACGGTTAACTATAGTCCTACTTCTTCTTTCTTCCTTTTGGTTATTTATGCTTCTAACTCGGCTGAAGATCGTCTCTCTCTTTGGCAGCAGATTCGTCATATTGCTCCTAATGATAAAACTCCCTGGATTGTCCTGGGAGATTTCAATTGTTGTACGTATCTAAACAAAAAAGCTGGTGGATCTCTCATACACTCTAGTAGATTGGTTGAATTTAACTCTCTTATTTTTCATACACTCCAGAAGGAACTATAATAGTTCCTTGATAATGGCTGCTCTTAATGGAAATGGTGATAGCCGGGTATCTGCTAGTAGTGTTATTATCCAACATTTTTAAAAGCTGTACAACCCCTCTCATATCATGCCGGATTTATCTGCTTTCCCCTCTGGAGCTACAATTCCTAGCCACCTTATTCCATGCTGACAATTCCTATATCGGTGGCTGAAATTAAAGAGGCTGTTTTCTCAGGTGTTTCTAACTCTTCTCCTGGACCTGATGGTTTCAACTTCCACTTCTACAAATCCTCGTGGCACATTTTGGGTCCCTCTATTTGAAAAGCGGTTGCTTCTTTTTTTGATAAAGGCTATATGCCTAAAAGAATTAAAGCTACTGGTATAGCTCTCATTCTCATGCTGCTTCTACTACTGATTTTAGGCCCATATCTCTCTGTAATACGCTATACAAAATTATTTCAAAAATATTAGCTACCAGGATTAAAGGTATTATGCCTCTTATTATTAATAAAGCCCAACCTGGCTTTATTAACAAGCGGATTTCCACTGATAATGTTATCCTCTCCTTTAAACTTCTGGGTTTTTTCAAGAAGAATTGCAATAGGAACTTTATGTGTGCTAAGTTGGATATCAAAAAAGCTTTTGATTCCATTTCTAGAGAATTTTTTCTTTTGAGAATGGCTCAAAAGGGTTTTCCTTCTACTTTTATTAGTTGGGACAAAGCTTGCATATCTAATGTTCACTTCTCTATCTGTATGGATGGCAATATAATGGTTTCTTTTCTTCCTTTGCGGGATTGAGGCAAGGTTGTCCTTTAAGTCCCTACTTATTCTGCATTGCCATGGATGCATTCTCATGTTTGCTGGACTCTAACAATGATATGGAAGGTTTTAAACCTATTGTTTGCAACGATTTGCATATTTCACACTTATTATATACTGATGATGTCCTTGTCTTTTTTGGTGAAGCCTCCCTCAACAATTGCACCTCTTTGAATGAGATTATGGATACTTTTGCTAAGTCTTCTGGGCTTCAGGTTAATCATGGAAAAAGCTCCCTTATTTTGCACCGGAATTCCCTTATTGCTAATGATATATGTGCATCTCTTGGAATTCCTACTTTCTCTTATAAAGTCACCAATCTGGGTTTACCTATATTCATTAAGAGGGCTCATTTATCGGACTTCTCCCCTCTTCTGGATGTTATATCTAACAAACTTTCCGGTTGGAAAGCCAAATCTCTTTATTTTGCAGGTAGGTTCCAATTCTTCAAGTTCACTATTTGGAATACGATTGCTTATTGGATTCGTGGTGCTATCATACCTAAGACTTGCTATAAACAGCTTAATAAGCTATGCTCCAGATTTCTTTTCTCTGGAGATATTAATGTGAAGAAAATGCACCTCATTTCCTGGGTTAAAACTTGTAAGCCTAGAACTAAATGGGGTTTGGGCTTACCGACTTTTGATGCACTCAGATTTGCTTTTGATTGCTCCCTTATTTGCAGAATTTACAACTATCCCTCTTTGCTTTCTCATTGGCTGTTCAATACCTATTGTTCTCCTTGGAAGCTTGTTACTAGGGATGTTTCTCCTATGTGGAAGAGCATTACTGGAACTATCTTTAAAGCCAAAAATAATTTTTGCTTCACTACTATGGCTAACTGTAACATCTCCCTCTATTGGGATCCCTAGTGCCATGGTTAATCTCTGTCTGAAATGAACTTTTATAATTCGGTGATGAATTTTTTTCCTTCTAACGGTACGCTGTATGTGATTATGGGTCCTAATGGATGGAATCCTCCTATGTCTTTGGATGATAGTTTAATCAATTCCATCAGGTCAGTCCCAATTTCTCATGAGGGTAATAGTTGTTGTTTGAGATGGAAACCAGGTTCTAGTTCGTCCTCCTTTCACCATTATTTTACTGATTATTTTAAGGAGATTGGTGATGTTAGCTAGTATGCTGCGGTTTGGCATAAGCATTGTGCTATTAGATACTCAATTTTTGGTTGGCTTATTATGGTGGGTGGTCTTAAGACTGCAGACAACTTGATTAAGAGAAATATTTGGGTGGAACCGACATGCTCTTTATGCAATCTAGAACAAGAAACTGTGGCCCATCTTTTTTTCGAGTGTGATTTCTCTTTTACTGTTATAATGAGCATCATACATATGGTGCGGAGTTTTCTACTTCGCCCAAATCTGTCTCAAATTGTTGATTTTCTGCTTGAGGGGACTAAAGGAAATTCGTTGCACTTCACCTTTTTAAACTTATGGTGTTTTGTTTATCATATCTGAAGAGAGAGGAATGAAAGGAGATTCTCTTATACTGCAAAAACTGCTTTCCTCACTAGAGAAATAATTCGTAAAGCTATTTTAATGAAGATCTCTAGGTGGAAGAAAGGAGAGGAGTATAAAAGGTTATTGCTGGATGAGGAATAGTTTGGGTTTCTGTTGTTTTCTCTTCCTTGTTGGAAATCAGTCCATGAGCCTTTTTTTTGGTTTATCTGAAGTTGTTGTTGTGCATTGGTTTATTTTGGATTTTCTGTTGGGGCTGCTTTGCAGTGACTTTGGCAGTCTTTTGCTGATTTCATCTTGTTGTGATGTTCTGCTTCTTTCTTGTGTTTTTTGGGATGGTTTTTCTGCACTTAATCAAGGTTTTTTGGGCTTTGAGTTTGGTATTTTGGGGCGAGGATGAGTGGATTGCTTCCCTCTCCCCCTGGATAGCGACTCTTAGCAACCTGGCTTCCATTTGATGGCTTTTTCGCAACCGGGGATTCATTTTGGCTGGTTGGGTGCAATCCACATACTGAGCCTAGCTTTTGGGTGTTTACACCTTTTTGACAGCTGGTTTACTGTGATGCCCCAGAAATCAATAGTGAAAGGATTCGTCTGACATTCTGATCGAACTCCATTCTAGTTGCCTTGCTCGGACCTGAAAATTTCAACCACATATAATGAGCTTATAAAGCCCAGCAGGTCACCAAAGCCTACAACTGAAATCAAAGCACGGCGATGCTATCAATATGCAGGTCAATCAAATCGAGTCAATCAATGGTCAATGAGTCTATGCAATGCGGAAATCCATAGTCAATGAAATCA